GGATGGAACCCCCTGGCTGCCTGATCTTGTTGTTGCCTATACCAGGGTCTGTGTCTCAAGGTAGGAGAGGGGCCACAGCTTCATGTGCTCCGGGGTGATGCACCCCTGATGCCACAGCAGACCTCGATGCCATGGCAGCCCAATTTTCCTCGGCAAACTGTTTTTTCCCCTTTCATGCCCCATATCTGATGAGGACAAACAGAGCCCATCTCCGTGTTGAGCATCCCTGGTGTGGTGGCCCCAGGGGACCTGGGCAGAACGGAGGGCCTTGGGATTGCTTTTGTGTACTTGGACCAAGTTGTATGGGCAGGATTTGTGGGGACAGCTACTGGTACCCAACAGAGCACCCTAGAGATGAGGAGGTCACGGGGAAGGTGGCATGTAGGACCTCCAAAAGGTTATGCCAATCCCAGGAGGATTCTTCTAGAGAATCCCAGCACTTCTGAGAGGGATCACAGCCCACTCGGGAGTGGAGTCTGGTGCCCATGGCCAGGATGCATCCCTGTCTCACAGGGTATGGAGATGAGCAGTGTCTGTGGGGATCCTGACTGGGTGCTCAGTTGGTGCCTTTGGTGGTGGGAGACTCACTTCACCAGGACCACAGTAGTCCTGAGCTGGTTCCCAGGAGCCATCCTAGAGAATAGAGAGGGCTTGAGCTCTGCCAGCTGCTGGGAAACCCCTTGTCCCGGTGGTGGCCGCTTCCTTGCATTTCAGTTTGGGTTTGCTCCTCCTGGCTGGAGACAGGGAGCCCATGGGATGAGTGACAGGGTCGGGGGCTGTGAACCCCTCCGAGGAGTTGGCTGTGAGTGTCTGCCTGTGCCGTGCCCTGCCCTTCCGCAGGGATACTCCGCGGGGTAAATAAGCACTTCCTCCAATTCTTCCCATTCGCAGCTCCTTCCCTTTCCTGTCGCCCTCCCACTTGGCCCAAGGAGCCAGCAGCCTCCCATGACCACAGGGGCGGATATCAGCACCATGTCCCTACTGCCATGGGGCTGAGAGCACCCAGCACCTATCCAACCCAAACTGCTGAGAGCAGCCAGCACCCAAACAACCAAACTGCCATTCCCTGTTCCGGTGGGGGCTGTGGGGCTGTGACCTTATGGCTGAGACTTTCTCTCCGGCTGAGTCACGGGAGCCAGGATGCCATTCACTGACTCATCTGACTCCCAAAAGCCCCCAATCCCTTTCCTTGCCCAGCACGAGAGGAGCCGGGGGTGTCCTGCCTTCCTGGAGGAGAGGCAGAGCGTGGAGAGGTCAGGGAAGAGGCGGCTCTCAGGCTCCTTGTGACCAAGACAGCATGGCTTTGGTCGCCGGATGCTCCAATCCTCTGTGCTGAGGGGGGATGAGGAGTGATGGGAGGGAAGAACTGCTCCAGCCCACGCTGGGAGCCGGCCAAGGGCCGTCCCGGGGCCGGAAGGGGCCGGCGGGGGCCGGGGTACGTGCCTGTGTTGGGGCAGCGGGGCCACAGCTGTGCAAACACGGCTGCTCCGGGGGGAGCCGAGCCAGCGCGCTGAGTTCGCAGGCTCCCGAGGTCATCCCTGCCCTGCGCCAAAGTTTCACCCAAAGGTGCTGGGGCGGGGCGTGGCAGGACCCCCCACTTGTCCTAAACACCACGGGCAGTGGCTCCCCCACTGAGGGACACTGGTGCCCTGTTGTGCCCCAGGGATGGCCGCAGTGCCATCAGTGCAGGGACTACAGCCCACCCCCCTGGGTGCTGCTGGTTGGTCCTGGGTGTCTTCCCCGAGGTGAGGGGTGCTGGAGTCATCTGGGTTGGCGACCCAGTGAGTGACATCCCTGGAGGTGCTGGTCAGAGCACCCCCAGCTCACAGGGCTGTAGGGCTGGGGACTCAGGGGGAGCCAGTTTGGGGCGTCTCCGACCAGGGCAGTGTTGATAAACCCGCCAGAGCGACCTGAGGCTGGTGTCTGAGTGTCGGAAACAGAAACCAGCTGGGACCAACCCAGCCGGTCGGACTGCCCCCTCCGCTGCTCAGACCAGCATTCTTGGGATCCCAATCATCTCCAGCGCACCGAGAGAGGAGCCAGAGGAGCCGGCGGCCGGGCTGGAGAGCCCCAGGGTGGGCTCCAGCACCCCGCGCTGTGCTGCCTGTTCAGCTGCTCGCTGCCCTTTTGGCCGCTGCCCACGGGCAGTGCCGGCCGAGGACGGACAGAGGGACACACTCCCAGGATTGCATTTCCTACGCTGGGAGATCTGGAGGCAGTCTGTAGCACGGAAAAGGTGAAAAGCTTGGTCGGGAGGCAGGTTTGTTAGCACTGAGCCCGAGCTAAGGGCAGGGGGCGGTGGGGCTTGCTGGGACTGAACCTTCGGGACAGGATCTCTTCTGCTCAGGAGAAAGGATGTGTTGGGGGCTTTAGTCCATGGCAGGGACATGAATGTGCCGGTGCTCTGCTGGTGCCAGCCTCATGGTAAGCCTGGCACGGGGCTCACCAGCCTGGGCAAGATACGGTGCCCAGTGGTCCCTTCCAAGTGTGCCCCAGGCTCTGCTCCCTGCGGGGGCTGGCTGTGCTGCTGGTACCAGGTACCTCTTATCTCGGTAATGTCAGGAATGCACTATGCTGGGGATTTTTCCTTCTCTGTGAGCCAAGCCCAAGAGTGCCAGGAACAGAGACCCTACATCCTGCCTGCCCTGCCTCATGCAGGCAGCGCTGCGGGGCTGGCTGCCCGCCGGTTCTGAGATGGAGCATCCTTGTGGCTCCTGGAGCATCATTCCTGCAGAGCAGGGGTATGGAGGTATCCCCTCCTCCAAGGGGGCTTGGGGTCCTGGCACAGGATCTTGGTTGCAGGGTGCCATGGTGCATTGTGGTAGATGTTTGGGGGGAGAGCTGGGTCCAGGGCTGGGACACAGGGATGTGGTCCTATCAGCAGCCACTGCTCCCTGTGCCAGTGAGGGAGCCTCCAGTGCTTTGGAGCAGGATCCAGCATGGCACAAGTGTCTGCTGGAGCCTCTGAGGTGCCTGGGCAAGTGGCTGCAGATTACTCTGACTGCTGGGAAATTGTGCTGGGGCATCAGTCCCCTCCAGCACACTCAGCATCCTTCTCCCCCTCCAGCATCCTCCTCCCCTTAATGCTCTCAGCATCCTTCTCTCTGACAGCCTAAGCATCCTTCCCCAGTGCAGGCTCCTGCCTGGGAAACCCTCCTTAGAGGTCCCTCTTGTGCTCCAAAATGGCAACGTGGGCTGGAGAAGGATGGGTTGGCAGGACTGTCCTCATCCTGAACTGTGACCTGCCCCACACATGAGAGCCTTGTCCTGTGGGTGTTGGGTGCTCTCCCTATGGCTGAGCCACTGTAGCACCTAGTAGAGAGCAAGCACGGGTGCCACAGGCCCTCCTTGCTCAGTGGGGAGCAGATTAAAGAGCCCTGCAGAGGGTAATCTGCCAGGCCTGCAGGTCAGCCGGGCTGCCAGGGATTACAGCTCTTCCTAATGAGCTTAATTGGGACAGTGTTGTCCTGGAAAATGGAGGAACCGGCACCCAGATAGCACTGTGTCTGTGGGACCCGCTGAGTGGCTCTGTGGTGTGGGTGGGACACGAGTCCCAAGGGGGAACCAGATGGACCTGCTGCCTCCTGGCTCCACTGGGATAGAGGTGAGTGGTAGTGTGGTTAGCTTTGACTGCAAATGGCTCTGGCACATCCTGGGTGCTGCAAATCCCTGGCCCCAGCCTGGCGTGCGGGGTGGTGAGGGGCACAGTGCTGGGGGGATGCCCACCCTGAGTGGGTGTGAGCCATGTGGGACCAGGCTGAGCTGGACTCCTGAGCATGGGGAAGGAGGGGGGATGGTGGTGGAAGCCCCAGCAGTGCCTGTGTCCCCGTGCTGTTCGCTGTCAGCCATGCTGGAGACAGGAGGAAAGGCAAAGTGAGCTCCTTAGGATGGAGAGAGGTGGCTCTGGCTCAGTCTGTCAGCCAGGGCAGCTGTGCATCCCTCGAGTCCTGCCTGGGTGGGGTGTGTGACTGCCAGGCACTGTGTGGGCTCATTCCCAGCACTATTGCAGCTGTGCTCAGGGCTGGCTGGGACAGAGGGATTGATCTGCCATCAGTGGTGGCCAGAATGAAATGGAGCATCCTGCATCCTGCTCCTCCATGGCTGCCCTGTAAGCTGGGCTCCTCCCTGTGCACAGCTGGCACTTCTGGGGGTGGCAGGGCCAGGAGCCCTGTTCTCCCCTGCTCTTGCCTTGTCCTTTGGGCTGCCCTCCCCAAGCCCCAGCCCTGGCCAGGGCTACAAGGATGGTTGCTGTGACACAGAGTGGAAGCCAGGTCCAGGCCCTGAGTTTCAGAAGTCTGTTCCATCGCTGGCTGGCATCAACTGCACTGGCTGTGGTGGGGACAGGCAGGTCACAGCAGTGGTTTCAGGGCTCCTGACACTGCCACTGCCAGGAGCAGAGGATGGGGTGCAGCAGCCATGGGGCTGGACGCATGTGGTCTGCACGGACTTTCCCTGGCAGGGAATGGCTTGTCCTTTTCTTCCCCCACGCAGAGCTCCTGGCAAAGTGTTTTGTTGTCCTTGGGTTTCCCTCCTGATTGCTGGAGTGAGCAAGCAAGTGAGAAGACAGCAAAGGGCTGGGCAGTAGGGTCCAGCCCTGTGCCTTTCCTGCCCCTGCAGCAGGGTGGCATGGGTGACAACAGATATGGGACAAGGTGGGGTTCAGGAGGAGGTGTCTAGGCTTGGGCACCGTGTAGTTTGCCGTGGAGATGTCTGGGAAAGGCCATGGTAGGCACTGGGCATCAGCCCCTTTCTGTGATTCCCATAGGGCCAACACGTCTGTCTGGTGTGCCCGCTGAGAGCTCACAGTGCCCAGAGCCCCACTTCACCAGGGGCAGTGTCTCTGGGGGCAGCACGGGATCTGTGTCCCAGTGCCACCAGGAGGGTTCTTGGACTGAGAGAGTGGGAAGTCTGTGGGTGCCATTCTCAGTCCTGGTGGCAGTCCTGCCTGCATGTGTGTCCTCACCGTGCTGCTGGTGACCCTGATGTGTCATTGTCCCCAGGGCGGCCCTCCAGGTCACACTCAACGATGTCACTGTCTGTGCGCCCGCAGCGCCGAGTCCTCGTCACCAAGATCAATAGGAGCCAGTCCTTCGCCGGAGTGAACTCATCGGCCGACCGGCCCTTCAGGTACCACATGGGTGCTCATGCTGCCTGCCACGAGCAATGGGGACAGGCTTGGGCTTTGTGGTGGGACCTGCTGTGCACCCTGAGGCTCCTTCTCATCCAGCTGTCCCAGCATCTCCCTCAGGGATCCTTTTGATAGCCAGGGGCTGTTCCACAGGGGGCTGCAGGGAACTCTGAGGCCATGTAGGAGACAGAGCCCATCATCCCAGCCTTCTGCCATGCCATGCCCCAGGTGGGGTGAGGACCCTGCTGGCTGCTGCCACGGGAGGACAGAGGTGGCAGGTGGAGCTCACCTCATTCTTCAACCAGCTCTTAAGACCTTCCCTGTAACCATCTCAGTGTTTAATGGGTGCAGTAGAGCTGGGGTAGCTTTGAAGTGTCTTGATGGCCTTGACATCCTGCAGCAGTCAGTTTTGGGGTTGAGTGCTGGTGTGAATCAGAGTTTCCTCAGGGTCGCCTCAAACCTATCGTTTGAAAGGTTTTACCAGATGCCTGCCAGCTGCAGTGTGAGGAGCAGCTCTTCCCTGCTTCGTCCTCTCCATCCACTGGTGATGTTATGGTCCCTTCATACCCTTCCTCCTCCTCTCTGCTGAGCATCCCCACATGCTGCACTTCCCCAGCAGCAGCCCTCTCTGCACCATCCCTAGCTCCTGGCCACTGCCTTGCAGGTACTTCTGCGGTAGCAGGCAGAGCCTCCCTGTGCTCTGACCTCCCACCATGCTCAACTTTGTCCCCAAGTCCTGTCCAGCCTCTGGGCCAAGTGACACTTTACAGGTCGCCAGCACATTGCTGGGTTTTAGGATACCAGAGGGGGGCCCTTAGAGACAGAGAAGAGGGAGGACTTTTGGATTCCTGCAGCCAAATGGTTGCTGGGGAGATGCTTGTGGGAGATGTCTCCAGGGACCTTGGAGGATGGGAAGGAGAAGGAATGGTGGAAATTAGGGAATTACCCATTGCTTGGGAGGAGGCTGAGACACTCATTTCCCCACCGGTGATTTGGGGAAGTCTTTTGGTCACTTCTGTGAAGAGCAGCACAGGATGGGAGGTACAGCCTGAGGTTGGGAAATGAGGAGCCCCTGGTGTCTCCTGGGCACTGGTGGCGTGATGATTCCATGGAAGGAGGAAGGGAAGAGCCAGTCTGAGCGAGGCTGGGCTGGGGAGTGACTCCGTTGCACAAGGCAGGAAGGGTGGAAGGGTGGAAGGGTGGAAGGGTGGTGTTCGGGTCCCAGCACTGGCTCAGCATCCCGCGGGTCAGCTGGGGGAGGCAGCTCTATCCAGCAGGTTTGGTGACATCTGGAGAGGCACAGCAGCAGTGAGCATTTCCCTGCCCCTTCTCGCTGTGCTGGGTGATGAGGTGACAGGGCTGCTGGTCCCCTCCTGTGCTGGATTGGGATCCTTGCCTGGCCCTGGAAGCACAAGGTGGCGTATTTCACCCTGCCACAGTGCCCAGGGAACACCTCTATACCCCTGGCAACCTGGGTGCTGGGATGGAGCTGAGCATGGTCCCTTTAGAGGGCGATCAGGGCTGGAGATGTCCCCATGGACTCTCCAGGAATTCAGTTTGATTCCAGGTGGTGCCATCTTCCTTTGTCTTTTCTCCCCCCAGCTGGCACCAGGGACCCCTCACCTCCTCAGTCTACACCAAGGCCAAACTCTTAGACCCTGCTGGAATGGTGTTGCCTTCCTGCTCTTCTCCATCTTCACTTTTGTGGGTTTCTCCTTGTGTTTCCCATGGCTTTGGGCCAGCCAAATGCATTTCCAGGGGGCTGCAGGCATGTGGTACAGGCAGCACTGCCCAGTCTCGTGGCTCTGTGTCTTCCAGCCCTGCTGGACACTTAGAACGGCTGCCAGGGAGTCCTGGGAGGGGCAAGCAGGTGGACCTGGCCCAGTGGACCTGGCCTCCTTGCCAGAGATTGCCCTTTTCTAGAGAAGAGTGCCTGGCTAGCTAGGGCACCCAGAAGGACTCTGGTGCTGTGTGCTGATCCCAGGCTCTCTCCCCAGGAATCTCTCACCTTTCACCCCCACTGTCTCCCGCAAGACTGGCTCCAGGGTCAGTAGGATGTTCTCAATGTCCCACAAATCCCCACCACCCAAGGTGCCTCAGCCCAACCGCCTGGACGAGGTGTACGAAGCTCTCAAGAAGGGCCTGACGTAAGTGCTGGGTGGGTGGAGGCAGAGAGCTTCTGAGGGGCATGGGGACAGCTTGTGACATGGCTTGGGGTTGGCAGCTCTCTGCTCCCACCAGGCAGGGACATGCCAGGTCTCCTGGGCACATTGCCTTGGTGTCCCAGGTTGTGTGGGGTCCCACATCCCACATATCCCATGTAGAGGCATATATGGGTTCCCACACCTGCATGCTGGAACATGTGTTGCCATGTGTGCTGGGTTGGTGTGGGCTGTGGGGAGCAGGAGCCCTGGGCACAGCATCCCAACCTGACCCCCATGGTGTGGTTGCCCCCAGAGCCTACCTGGAGGTGCACCAGCTGGAACTGGAGAAGCTCAGCACACAGATCCGTGAGTCCAAGAGGAATTCACGCTTGGTGAGTGGCACTTGGGAAGAGCCTTATGGGGAGGGGTGCTTTGGGTAGACAGCCGAGCTTGTGGGCACAGCTGGGGCAACTCGTGGTCCTATTGTGCCTGGGGCAGAGCCTGTTTCTGTGGCATTGTAGGGGCCAGCCCAGGCTCTGGTGTTGGGGCTCCCATCCCTCTGTCATGCACTCTCCAGCCCTGGCTGGGTGCTGCATGTCCCACTGCCGTGCTATGGGTGGTGGGTGCCATGTGCTGGGTCTTCTTTGGGTGGGCAGAGCTGGCTTTGTGCTACGTCTTATCCCTCTCATCTTTCCTCCAGGGCTTTCTCTACGATCTGGATAAGGTAAGTGGGATCAGTGTCTCATCCCCCTTGTATTCCCCTTCCTTGTGCCTGGGATGTGCTGCTGCCAGCCTCGCTCTGTTAGCACTGCCCTTGTCCCCTGGGAAGGAGGGGGTCTGGGACTCTGCAGGCAGAGTGGCCCAGGTGGGCAGGGGATGAAGCAGAGATGATCTTGTAACCCCTTTCAGGCAAACAGAAACTGTTGCTAGTGAATGCAAGGCATGGGTTAGCTCACAGGCTGGGAAAAAAGCACCCTGGAGCCTGGCTTGGCTCCTGGAGGACCTGATGTACAGGAGTCTGGAGAAGGCTGCAGCACATGGGCACTTCCCACTGGCTGCCACCCTGCAGCTCCCAGGCAGGACCTGCCCCAGCCTCAGTGCAGGGGACACAGAGGCCACATCCTGACCTGTGGCTCCTCCGGGAGGGGCTGCGCTGCCGCTCACACCATCCTCTCTGCTTTTCCAGCAAGTGAAGTCCATCGAGCGCTTCCTGCGTCGCCTGGAGTTCCATGCCAGCAAGGTGAGAGCTGGGGCAGTGCTGGGGTGGCCGTGCTGTCCCCAGCCCTGCTCCTCACGGCAGCTTGGGCCTGTCCTTGCAGATAGATGAGCTGTATGAGGCTTACTGCATCCAGCGGCGGCTCCGTGATGGAGCCCACAACATGGTCAAGGCTTACAGCACGGGCTCGCCAGGCAGCCGGGAGGCACGAGAGAGCCTGGCCGAGGCCAGCAAGGGCTACAAGGAGTACACAGAGGTGAGTGTCTTGGTTTGAAAGGACAGGTGTCTGCTAAGAAAGGCAGGAGCCTCTCTTGAAATGGAAAATGTGAACCTCCTCCCTCCAAATTATTTTAATTTTTAAATTAAGGAGCTCTCAGGCAAAAATATGGGAATAGGAATAACAGTTCTTTACTAGGAAAATTGAAATAAAAATACACTAATACAAAAAAACCCCAAAACACTGACAGAGTCAGAATACAACTTGACACCCCGTCAGTCAGGGTGTTGGTAGCAGTCCCATTAAATGGTGGCTGCAGTCCTGCTGGAGTGACAGATGTGGTTCTGTTGAAGCAGTGGTCCTGTGGAAGGTACAGTGATGATGTAGAAGGGTCTGGTTATCCTCTGGGAATCCAGTGGAAAAAAAGCTGCTCTGATGTTCCAAATCTCAGATTTTATCTAGGTTGGAAATGCTTGCATGTCACAATGGGATGATGTAATTTTATCAGTCTTGCAGTGGTACTCAATGGCCCATTAACAGAAGATACCTTCCTGGAGGAAGGATGGGTTGTGGAAAAGATAAAGAACACTGCCCCACTTGGTTTTAACAGATGGCCCATTAACAGAAGGTATCTCCCCTGGAGATAAAGATCACTGCCTCACCTGGTTTTAACAGATGGTGATAGAATACATACTTTTGGTTACATCCTACATTGCAACCCAAGACATTGAGGCAGCTGGCTGGGTGGGCTAGCAGGGTGCTGAGTCCATGGTTGCTCATGGCTCCTGTCCATCCATCTGTCTGTTCCCAGAACATGTGTCTGTTGGAGAATGAGCTGGAGAGCCAGCTGGGCGAGTTCCACATCCGGATGAAAGGTACCATGTCCTGCTCCATCCCTGTCCTGCTGCCTGCCTGCCTGCCTGCTGCCTGCTGATGCCCCTCTGCCTTCTCTTGCAGGACTGGCAGGCTTTGCCCGGCTTTGTGCTGGTGACCAGTATGAGGTTGGTGGGACCATACGGGTTGGGTTCTGCTCTTCCTCTGCCCTGTTGTCCTTGGGGTGTCTCAGGGGTGTAGGTGGGTGCTGGTGTGGAGGGCGTTTTGCAGGGTGGTGGTGAGTGGCATGGGTCCATGGCCATGCCTGGGGACATACAGAGGGCACCCATCACCCTGGGGTCGTGTCTCCCCCATACCCATACATTTCCATCCCCAGATCTTCATGAAGTATGGACGGCAGCGGTGGAAGCTGCGAGGGCGCATCGAGGTGAACAGCAAGCAGGTGTGGGACAGCGAGGAAATGGTTTTCCTGCCCCTCGTCACTGAGTTCCTCTCCATCAAGGTACAGTGCATAAAAGGAAAGGGATGGGGTGGGTCAGCTGTCCCCCTGTGTCATAGAGTCATTTATGCTGGAAAAGATCTCTGTGATCATCAAGTCCAAGTGTTAAACTAGAACTGCCAATCCCACCATTAAACTGTGTCCCCAAGTGCCACATCCATGTTTTTTTAACATTTTCAGAGATGGTGATTCCACCACTTCCCAGGGCTTCCTTCCAGCACCTCACCTAAACATCACCCTCACTGGTCCATGGTTTCATTTCTTCTTCTCCTTCCTCTCCTTCTTCTTTAGGTGACCGAGCTAAAGAGCCTGGCCAACCATGTTGTGGTGGGCAATGTGTCCTGTGAGACCAAGGACCTCTTTGCGGCTCTGCCCCAGGTAGTGGCTGTGGATATCAATGACCTGGGCACCCTCAAACTCAGCCTGGAGGTGACCTGGAAGTGAGTACCTCAGCATGCATTGCTGGAGGCAGATGGCAGTGCAGGGGATGCCCAGCAAGAGATGACCTGCCCCAGGCTTCTCCTATCCCAAATCTGGGCTGTAATTATAGAAAACCAGAGCTGGTCTGGAGGGGGTCCTGGTGTCTTGAGACCCCCTAGGCTGGTGCATACCCCTCATCTCCCTGCTGTCCTCCCCAGCCCCTTCGACAAGGACGACCAGCCCTCAGCAGCCAGCAGTGTCAACAAGGCTTCCACAGTGAACAAGAGGTTCTCCACCTACAACCAGAGTCCGCCTGACACGCCGTCCCTGCGGGAACAGGCATTCTATGTAAGTGTGCACCAGGCAGGGCTGCTCAGGAGACATGGCCAGTGGAGGGGCCCACACAGGGATGTACCTAAGCAACGTCTCAGAGGGTGGCACAGCTCAGGGATGGGTAGGCAGCTCCTTCCTCTCCAGCCATCCTACCAGGACTCCCCAGTACTGGCACCTGCTCCTCCCTCCCACGTTCACAGCTCCTCTTCTTTCTGCCCAAGAGCCCGGAGCGGGCGGCTGACAAGCGTGGTTGGTCCTTGCTGGACATCTTTCGGGAGACACTCTTCGAGAAGCTGTCTCAGAGCTGCTCCTGCGGCGATGTCTCCTCGGCCGAGCTCGGGAGATGGCCGCAGCAGGGCCGCGTAAGTGCGGGGCTGCAGCAGGCCAGTAGCTTAGCCCAGCACTGTGGCCATCCTGCAGTAGCTGTAGCCACTCCTTGTCTCCTACTCACCATCCCTCGCTGATGCCCAAAGGCCTGATTCTGCCAAGCTGGGTCTGGCTGGTCCTGCAGAGCTAGTCCCCAAGCTAGGGGAGCCTGGGTTCACCCCCGTGCAAGAGCTGGGCACTAGTGAGTAGGCAGCTTCTCTGTGTCCCTGTGCTGGTGGCATTGGTGTGGTACTGGTGATGGTGCTGGTGAGATGGTGCTGGTGTGACAGTGCTGGTGTGGCACTGCTCATGGTGCTGGTGTGACTAACGCGGACTTGTCGTGATGGTGAACCAAGAAGTTGGTGTGGTGGCCGGTGCTGTCCCCACCAGCCAGTGCTGGAGCTGTTGCTGTCCTTGCAGCCATGGTGATTGGTGTTCTTGGCTCCATGTGTTGCATCCCACTGTGCTAGGGGACTGCTGGCACCCCAAGGCTCCAGGACATATGGGGCTGTTCATGGGGAGCTGGATTTCCTGCTGGCATTGGGTGGGTTCCAGAGCTGGAACCTGCCAGGTGTTTGCTGACCATCCTGCTGTGTCAGCAGAGCCATGGCAGCCTCAGTACCCTCCAGCTCAGATCGATCCTGCCCCTGCTTGACACGCAGACAGCTGGAGGAGATGGGGAAGCCGGAGCAGGCTCTCAGCTGACACCATTCTCCCCCTCTCCAGAACATGCTGCGGCGCCAAGAGGAGCTGGAGAACGGCACAGCCTGGTCCATCTCCTCTGAGTCCTCGGACGACTCCTCCAGCCCCCAGCTGTCCAGCAGTGCCCGCCATGCCACACACAAGCCCATCGTGCAGCCTGAGGTGCAGGCCTCCGCCCCTGCCATCGAGATCTCCTTCTCCCAGCAACCAGAGGAGGCTGACGCTGTACTTGGGGCCAGTGGCAGCAGTGTCCCCCCTGCTGGGAGCCAGCCAGAGGAGCCAAGCAGCCATAAGAAGGAGACAGTGGCCAACGGGCATGTGCCCTACTCCCGGACTCTGAGCCACATCAGCGAGGCCAGTGTGGATGCCACAATGGAGGTCAAGACTGTGGAGAGCCCTTGGGAGCCTGCGCCCAGCACGGAGGACACAGGGATGGGCGAGCAAGACTCACACCCTGTCCCTGGTGCTGCGGTGGCAGCTGCTGTGGCAGGGCAGGACAGGGCCACTGAGGCCAAGCCTCGCGCCTCCGTGGCATGGGCCACCTCCTGCGAGGAGGCGGCTGGCAGGGCCGAGCCAGTGCAGAGCCAGGCGACAGCACAAAGTGACTTTGGCACCGGGATCCCCACAGCACTGGCACAAGCCTCTGCAGAAGAGAGGCCCACCCCAACCCCACCACTGCCCACCAGTACCCCTGAGGTGCCGCGGGGGAAGATGGTGGATTCAGGTCTGGAGGAGGCAATTGGCCTCCTGGGCTCAGCTCTGGATGACTATCGGGGACAGTTCCCAGAGCTGCAGCCCCTCGAACGGGAGCTCAAACGTCTGGAGGAGATGCTGCTGGTGAGGGGCTCCCAGCGATGTCATGGGGTGAGGGTGGCAGGGTCAGCCTGGCTGGCAGTGCCCAGGGATGATGGGGATGGGGCCATCTCTGCTGGCATAGCCTGATAATGTGGGTGGCAGGGCTGTCTTGGCTGGTGAACCAGGATTCAACTCCACCATGCCTTCCTCCACAGCAGAAGCAAGGCGTCTTCCTCAGCCGGGCCTCCAGCATCAGCCTGACAGTGGAGCATGCGTTGGAGAGCTTCAGCTTCCTCAACACCTCTGACATGGAGGACTCAGAGGGCTCTGAGGAGGAGCCTCTCCAAGATGAGAGGTGCACAGTGGGGCTCATGGCATGGGGCACAGGGCAGGAGATGGCCCTGGGCAGTTGGAATGGGGGATGTTCAAGGGTGCCCAAGCATATTTAGACCTGTTCATCACAGCTTAGGGAAGGTCCAGGTCAAGAATAAGCAGTACGTGGTCTGTCTGGTGGCACAATGTCACCCTGCAACTCACCATGAGGGGTGGGCTGGAGGCAGCCCCTGTGCCCCTGGGACTTGTCCTCTGCTCTGTAGGTGGGGAAGGGCCAGGTCCAAGTGTCCTGTGCTGATTCACTGCCTTGATCTCCCCCTGGCTTGCAGGAGGGCTGGCAGACCTCTGCGCAGCACCAGGGCCCCCAGTGCTGGCGAGATGGGGGCAGATGACACCGGAATGTGCAGTGGTTCTGAGGCCAGCACTGACCCCATGAGCACCGGCAATGAGTTCCTGGATAAGGCTCTGGTGCTTCACCTCAACAACTGCAACCGCCTGCTGCTGGTGAGGACCAGGGTGGGATATGGCAGCAGGGGACACCCTGGGGTGGGCTGTATGGATCCCCTTGAAGGGGGTCTTGCTGCTGCCTGCAGGCTGTGATGTGGGCAGTGAGCTCTGTCCCTGAAGTCCCTGTTTTGGTTATGCCTTGCAGAAGCTGGGCACCTTTGGTCCCCTGCGGTGCCAGGAGATGTATGCCCTGGACAGGCTGCTGAGGGAGTCACAGGTGCTGGAGATCGTGTGCCAGCTGACGGAGGAGCGTGCAGGAGCAGCCAGCTCGGCCGCTGATGGTAAAGAAATGCAGCTGAGGGGACCCTCTGTGCCACCTCGGAGGCTGTGTGAAGCCTGTGTCCCCTCCTGGGCATTGCTGGGCAGCGAGGGACCATGGCAGACAGAGGGCAGGAGTCACCCGCCTGCTGCCATGGCCTTGGAGAGATCTGACAGTGCCTGTCCCCACAGTGGTGCAGTTCTCGACACGGAAGGAGGGCGTGCTGCCCCTTTGGGATCTCTGTGTGGAAGTGCCCAACGTCTACACCTGTCCTGTGGAGCGGTTCCTGCAGGTGCTCAGTGCCCAGTATGCAGCTCCCATCAGCGAGCAGCACCCTGGTTTGGCTGATGCTGGTGAGTGAGTGCCCAGGGGTGGTCGGGGAGTTGCCAGCCTCACTCAGTGACCATGAGTGGGAAGATATGGGTTCCAGGAGCTCCACAGAGGGGTGACCATGGCTGCTGCAAGACCATGATCCTGATTCTTTCCCACAGTGTGTGTGAAACTGGTGGAGGAGGTGCTGAATCGGCGGCTGCCCCGGCGGCCTGGCAGCGCCCAGAGCGAGCAGGTCACCATCTTCCAGTACTGGAGCCATTTTGAGTCACTCGGTGCCCTGGTGCTTGACACCTACATGATGGAGCTGGCAGAGGAAGGTGGGTGTCTTCCCACTCTCCTTAAGTCCTGGGATGGGATGCCAGAGTATCACCATAGTGATTGATCACCCTGCAGCACTGCCATGAGCATTGTGGGGCATCACCCAGAGGCTCAGCCATTCTTCGAGTGGGCAAGTCAGTCTGATCCAGAGTGCAGCCCAGTGCCGTGCTGCCTTCCCATATCCTTGCTGTGGGTCCCCAGTGTCTTGGGGAGCAATTCCATGCATTGGCACCTTGCATGGAGCCCCCTCTGCCCAGCGTGGATCCAGGGTGCTCGGGGAAGGGTGGCAGGGGTGTAGGGGCAGTGCCATGTGACTGCCCACACCTTGGCTGAACTGATGGCTTCCTGCAGCACTGCTGGCACAGAACCTCAACTCAGACGACCAGGACGTGGTGCTGCGTGCCCTGAAGCGCATGCCCGAGGGCCGCCTGAAGAAGGAGGGGCTGAAGGCGCTGAGCCTGCTCCTCGTGGAGGGCAACAGCAAGGTGGTGAGCGCTGTGTCAGCCCAGCTCCGCAGCCTGGCAGAAAACCCCCGCTTCCGCCAACGGGTACGTGCTGGGCAAGCCAGGGATGATCTGGGCTGGTGCCCCTGCTCTGCTGCAGATAGTGGCACTGACTTCCCCATCTCCCCCAGGCCCTTGTGTGCTTCCTGGAGCAGCTGGAGGATGAGGAGGTGCAGACACGTGTGGCAGGGTGTGCAGCGCTGGGCTGCTTGAAGGTAAGGGATGTGAGGAGGAGGCAGCAGGGCTGCATGTTCCAGAGAAAGAGGAAACACGTGTAGCTGGTGACTCTGGACACACCTGCACAGCCTCCTGCTCTTGGGAGAGAAGAGCATTTGGGATGCCCCAATTGTGCTGCAGGCACATATAACAACAGGCAGGGGCAGAGAAAGAAGGAAAATTAGGAGGAAAAGAAAGAGAATAAGGGGCTTTTCTGCACCGTGGGGCTGCAGCACCCTGTGCTACCTTCCCCATCTGGCTGTGTTCCTGCTCCAGCCCTGACAGTCAAAACTGATCTCCTTGTCCCTTCTGCAGGCCAAAGAGAGCATTGAGCAGCTGGTTTACCTGTGCCAAACCGACAAAGAGCCTGTGCGGGAGGCAGCCAAGCAGAGCCTGATGTTGTGTGGTGAGTGTCCTGTTGCTTCTCTGCTTGCTCCCCACCCACAGCATCCCAAGTGGCATCTCCTGGTGCCAGCAGTGCCCATGGGAGATGGGGCTCTAAGGCTACCCCACGCACTCTGGTTCATTATCCCTCGAGCTCTGCCAGGCAAGAGCAAGCTGGCAGAGAGGGCCAGGCATCCTGTAGCCACAGCACTAAGCCTGGTTGTTATTTATTATTTGCTAGATGGCCCTGAGAGAACCATCTGAGTGTGTTTCTAGGCCTCCAGATCGCGGCAGCTGCTGCACAGGTTGGGACACGTGAGCTGTCCTTGTACCCCTTGTCCTTGCTCCGGCCGCTTTGCTCACGAATGTCTCTGTCTTAGAGCCTGTCAGCCGTGTCACGTTTTGGAGTCTGTATGTCTTGGTTGTTGATAGTGCACATCCCACTGGCACCCTGACACATGTAGATGCCTTGTGTCCTGTGTCCCAGCAGATTGTCCATGTCACCATCTCTTGCTGGGGATGGCTGCTGTGGGCAGATTTGTGGGCAAAGAGCTCAGAGTGAGACTGTAGCATGGATGTGTGCATCCCTGTGTATGCCTGGGGATCCTGGGCGAGCCCTTGTGACCCCCATGCCAGTGCATGCAGATGTGCACAGCTGTTGGAGCCACTGGAGCTGGCACAGCCCTGAGCTCTGGTACCTTGGCCCCAAGTGAGGCTCTCTTACAAACCAACACTCCTGCATCCCAAACACGGGTTGTCCCTACCCCGCGTGGGCAGTTGAGAACAGGATTTGCAACCTCTGAATCAGGAACTCTGGGGACTTTTTGATCCAGATCCCAGCTGGGACCTGCCCAGGGGTGTGCTAATAGAGAACAAGAGAGGTTTCCATGCTGTTGCCATAGCACGCATGCTCAGCTGTACCAGATGTTAGGCAGGTTTCCCTGGAAAGGCCAGGGTATATGGTCAGGGATGGACAGGGGACAGAACTTCTGCAGTTTGTATCGCTGACCGTGGTGTGTACTTGCAGGAGAAGATGGTAAATCAGCTCACCGGCGACTGGAGGAGACCCTGGATAGCCTCCCGCGGATCTTTGCACCAGCCAGCATGGCCAGTACAGCTTTCTGAGACCCACGCACACCCACCTGCCATCCCTGAGAGCAAAGGCACTGCTGGGCCGCCCGGGCTTGCACGGACTGGGGACCCGGCAGCCCCAGCAGCTCCCGCTCTCGGCAGCACACCACAGTATTACCCCGCCTGCCGGCAGCTCGCCACGGCCGCACACTGCCTTACGGAGCACCGCTTCCCTGTCCCCGGCCACCCGCCCCACGGGTGCCACCTCCGCACCGCTGGGCAGGGGCTCGCTGCACACCCCACCCTCTGATCGCTATTTAAAGTACCCAGGGAGCCCACCCTTCCTGCCCCCTGGGGTGGCGGGGAGAGGTACCGGATTTCTCTGCCTCCTCTTGCCTTCCTCTTGCTCGAGGGCATGCATCCTGTCCCGGAAGGACCTGCACTTTGGAAACCTCGCTGTTTCTTTCCAGGAGCTGCCAGGGACATGGGGACTGCTGCCCTCTGCCACCTGGAGTCCCCAGGACTTAAATAAAATGAAATATGAGATATTAATATATTCTGCTGGCGTTTCTTCTTTCCAGCTCCACGTGCTCCTGTCCCTCCCTGGCTTGTGGCTGTAGGGAGAGTATTGAGATGTTGCCTCAGCCCAGAGCCTTTCCTGGCCTGTTGGGAAGTGCTGTGGAGGGCAGGGGCAGGAGGAGCGATAGAGGGACGGACAGACCGATGGACAGAAGCTGCCACCTTTTTTTGTTTGTTTTATTTTATTTTATTTTTTATTTACAGATTTTTGCAGAAAAACAAAAGCAAAAAATTCTTTTCTATAATGTCTCTATAAATCTATATATAATGTAATTACAGAGAATGACTAATTTTGATTTTAAAGCAGAAATAAAAACCTTTAAAGGGTGTCGGTGTTGCTGTTGTAAGGGTGTTTCTTTGGCCCCAGTGCCCTGGGACAGGGCAAGTTGGATGTCAGCACAGCTGCCTGGAGGGTGACAGAGGGTATCATGGGAAATAATTGTGATTTTTGGCCCTGCAACTCAGTCAAATGTTGCCAAAATTTGGCAGCTGGGCATGGGATGCATCACCCAAGGTAGTACGAGGTGGCCACACAGGATGGGGGCCACTGAAGCCAGGGCTGCCCTGGGAATGGAAGCAGCCGTGTGTGTCTGTGTGTGTGTGTGTGTGTAAATCCACACATTCCCGATGTCCAGCTGCTGTTGGTTATCGAGGCCCTAACTTCCAGTTTGGACCAGTAAGGACCCATGTCTAGCATGGGAAGCAGATTGCAGCAGCTGTGGTGGCCAGGCCATGTTCCCAAATGTCCCAAATGTCCCAAATGTCCCCAGGCCAGATGGGTGTGACAGGGAATGCTAAACCACCCCGTGAGCTGCTCTGCCTTACTGGCTGTGCCTTTTCCCAGGATATCCGCTGTCCCCACCTTACTGTGTGAGGGACACATTACTCGGCATGGGAGGGAGGCTGGGAGGGAGGCTGTTCTCTGTGACCCCTGTTGCTGCTCGTCCTTCACTAGCTTCCCTTAAGCTGGAGGTTTTTTGGATTTTTTTTTGTACCTCCTGTGCAGCTCCTCCTCACCAACGAGCTGCTGGATTGTTGGAAGCTTGCTGCGAAGGAAGCACTGTTTCCTCTGGCTCTCCCAGGAACTTTGCCCTCTTGGTGACTGTAACAGCACAGTGCAGCAGCAGGGTGGAGGCCACCTCCCTGACACTCACAACACAATTGGGTCTCACTTCTTTGATTAAATTTCCTGAGTTCAGTGGCCTTGGCAGCGTGAGGCTGGTGACATGGAACCTTCTGCCCCACCCAGGAGGAGGTGGCATCAGGCTACAAAGTGCGTGGCAGTGTTGTGTCTTGTGCCACCTCCTGATTGTGCTGGGTTGAAAGGGGGGGATCCTGGATATTTCTGCCTGCATCATGGAGTAGGGCTGCTGGGGCCCTTGCTCCTACACCCTGCATGGTGTCACTGTGAGGCTGGGGCCCCCCAGAACTGCTGCCCCTCTCCCTGTGATGTGTCTCTGTGCTTTCTGGTAATTTTTTTTAAGCTTGTATCATTTGCTTTCCTCTTCTCAAACCCTGCCCATTACCTTCTGCTGGTTTAAATCCCTGAACATCCACCATGATGGTGCACCTGGGGAAGAATAACTCCACGTACCAGTACCTGATGGGGACCAACCTGCTCGGAAGCAGCTCTGCAGAGAAGGACCAGGGAGTCTTCATGGACAAGAACTGTCCCTTGGCCTTCGACCAAGAAGGCCACTGGTATCCTGGGATGCAATAGGAAGAGCACTGGCAACAGGGCAAGGGAGCTGATCCTGCCCCTTCAGCCCTAGTGAGGCCATATCTGGAGTGCTGTGTCCAGTTCTGTGCTCCTCAGTACAAGAGAAACATGGAGTTCTTGGAGCAGATCCAACAGAGGGATACACAGATAATTAAAGAATCATCTCTCTTACAAGGAAAGACTGAGGGAGCTGGAGCTGCTCAACCTCAAGAAGTTACGACTGAGAGGGGATCTCATCAGTGTCTGTCAGTATCTGCAGGGAGGGTGCCAGAGAATGGATCAGGCTCTGTACAGTGGTGCCCAGCAACAGGGCGAGAGGCAATGGGCAGAAACTAATGCACAGGAAGTTCCACATGAAAATGAGGACGAACTTCGTGTGGGTGATCACACAAAGGAACAGGCTGCCCAGAGAGGGTGTGGAGTCTCCCTTATTTGAGGTATTAAAAAATCATCTGGACACAATCCTGTCCAAATGCCCTCTAGGATGACTCTACTTGAGCAGAGAGGTTGGACCAAATGACCCGTAGTGGTTCCTTCCAACCTTACTATTCTGTGATTCTTTATCCCCCACCAGGCATGGACAAAAACTCCCCTCCCAAGCCTTCATTTTTCCATCTCTCATGACAGCTGCTCCAATCCCTTAATCATCTTAGTGGCCCATATGGTCCTGGGAGTGGAGTAGTTTAGAGCAGCAAAGATGCCCCCAAAGGCAGCAGAGGCAGGGACATTCCCCCAGTCCTGCCAGGCACCTGTGCCAGAGCAAGGGTACTGCCATCACCAGTGGAGCTGGGGATTTATAGTTTCCAGGCCAAGCAAGGCCCATCCATCAGTGCTTCCCAGGGTTTCTAAGCAGATCCCAGGAGGTTACAGCCTTCATTTCCTTCTTCCTCACTGTAGCAGAGCTTTTTGGGGCTGGCTCAGGCAGAATGTAGCATGTCGTGGTGCATGTGGTCCCATCTGGGACACCCCCTCAGCATAACCACTTCTGGATGCAGTTTTATCTGCAGATGGGATTGCAGAGAGGGGTAACCAGGGGACACTGCTGCATCACTCATCTCTTCTTCCACCTGCTTTGGGGGCTGGATGAGCTCCAGGAGGAAAGCACAGTGCTTTTCCCAAAGCACTGCATCACACTATCAGCTTTATGCAGCAAGAGATGAGGGATGTAGGTCCCAGCTGGCACATGTAACTGCAGACAAGAGCACCTGAGAGATGGAAAGTGGCCCAGCCCTCTCACCTATTTGGTTTGGCTTGGTTTCTTTTCCCTTTCAATAACTGATGGAAAACAAACCAGTGCCCCAGTGGCCAAAGCCATGAATTTAATTCACTCACCTACCTGGGTGTTCTCCTTGCCCTGCCAAAACCTCCCTGCAGCACAATTCCATTTTCCAAGATAAGCTACACCTTGACTGTAGAGATCAGAGTAGGAAAGCAGACTTCTGTCAGGATAGGCAGGGAGCTGCAGGCCAGGACAAAATTATTCTGTTCCTGGAATTGCAAGGAATAATCCCATTATTTATGTGGCTGTTAGAATATGTGGAAAAAAACCTCAAACAGATTAACTTAGGAATCTATTACCCAGCCCCTTGCTGTGAATAGGTCTATGCTGACATTGCAAAAGACCTCTGCCCTATGGACACCACCAGGTCACCTGGAATTGCAGGACTGCCATTTTCACAGAACCGAACTTCAGACAAAAGGTCTTGATTTTTGGACCTCTCAGTTTTGTGGGTGAACTCTCTGGGAGCCACTTTCACAGCACACAGGGACAGACAGAGCAGTGCAGAGCACATTTTGCGGCAGCATTTGTTATTTCAAAGGAGACAGTGTGCCAGCACCGTGTTTGTCAGCCAAATCTGTGTCAGCACTTGAAACATCCCCCTCCCGTACGGACGTGCTTGTGCTCAGCAGCTACTTGCTTTTCTTGCAGGAGCTGCAGCCCGTGGGAGGGTGTCTGTGTCACAGTTACATTATCCATGTGCTCTGGCTTGGGGAAGATGTTCCTTTCCCCTGCTTACTGCTGGTTTTGCTGCTTTTTTTTTTTTCCTTTTAATTGGAAGGGTGCATATGGATTCTGAAGCACTCTGCAGTATTGCTTTTTACCTGCCAGTCTCGAAAAAGTGTCCTGAGGAGCCCCTGAATACCATCAGCACAATGTTCCCTCCTCTTGCACAGCATCCAGGCTGGTGCAGCTGCCCAGGTTTGACACCAAGAGCAGCCACCAGCCAGAATGACTCCAAGGAGACACTGCCACTTTGTGGTACCACAGCTCCAATTAGCCCTTGTGTTAGAAATCACTTAAATCTGGATGCAAAGTAATTTTGAGGGGTTGTAGTTTATGACTCTCTAGTCTGAGTAATCTTAAAGCTGGACCTCCCACCTTTTCCCAGGCTTATGGGAAATCATGTTTCCAAGGCATTCACTGGGGCACTTAGAGATGATTGGAACAGCTAAGCAGCCTGAGCTGAACCACAGCAAAGCAACAGCCTCCTCGTGAGCACTGACGTGTTCCTTGCAGGGCCGTCAGGCACATCTGTATGGGCTTGTTCTCCAAGGACCACTCCTGGGGCAACAGCTGGAGCCTTGGTTCATAGAGAGACCAAATGGTGCTCCAGGCAGCCTTCGAAATTTAATTTAATGCTCTCAAGCTCGACTACTTCTTCCTTAGAGCTGACTTAGAGTGGTGACTCCTGAGAGATTGTGAAGGTCATGGAAGTGCAGAGTTGGAACGAGGAGGATGAGCCCACCCAGGGCCTCAGCAAGGTGGTCGGGAGCTCCTTGGCTTCAGTTCTTTCCATTCTTTCCATTTCCAAGGTGTCTCTGGGAAAGGCCTCACTCAGGCAACTTTTCTAGAAGGAGCATCTGCCTCCGAGTGTCTAATTTGGACAGGCTCAGAGGT